TAGATAGATAGATAGATAGATAGATAGATAGATAGATAGATAGATAGATAGCACTCTTTCCTCATATACAGTGGTGCTTAAAAGTTTGTGAACCCTTTTGAATGTTTAATATTTCTGTATAAATATGACCTAAAACTAGAGAAAGAGAACCTAATTAAACAAATGAGTCAAAAACATTATATTTGTTCATTTATTTATTGAGGAAAATGATCCAAAGCTACATACTGGTGTGTCACAAAAGTATGTGAACCTCTAGGATTATCAGTTCATTTGAAGGGGAAATTTAGGAGTTTTAATCAAGGGGATGATAATCAGGTGTGAGTGTGGAAGGTCCTGCCTTATTTGAAGAACAGAATTCTGGGTATTCATTATCAAAGTCTGATCTTCACAACATACATATGTGGAAGTGTGTCATGGCTCAAACAAAGGGGATTTCTGACGACCTCTGAAAAACAGTGGCTGATGCTCACCAGGCTAGAAAAGGTTACAAAACTATTTCATTTTTTTTATTAATAATTTTTATTAAAGATTTTACAATAGTAAAAAATAATACAAAATAAGATTAAGAGAAGAAAGAAAAATAAAAAGACAAAATAGAAAGTGCAGAAAAATAGAAAAAAAGTAAAAAAAAAACAAGCAAGAAAAAGATATTTAAGGAAGTGACTTCTGATCTTCTTTACAGCAGTTACAAATTTAATACCACTCCTCCCCCTTTGAAATTGCATTACATAGATCACTTCTTCCCATATCTAATCCTTTTCAATTCATAAATCCAAAAATCATTATCTATCCATTTTCAGCAAAAAATCCATAAAGGGTTTCCAGTATTTTGTAAAAGTACTTATTGTCTTATCTCTGATCAAAGAACTCAATTTTGTATTCCTTTCTGTTACGTAGTATTCTGGCACTATTAATCCTTAACTTGATATTAAGATGTCATAAAACCTGATCTCCATCCATATCTTCTTCCCATCCTAAAAAAAAAATTTAAGACTTCAACAGCCCTCTCCACATTGTTCTATAAGTACTCTTGGTCTCAAACAGGATTCTTTCTCTATTACCTGCATCTTTTTTCATCTCTTGACTTAATATTTGTATTTCCTCTCTGTTTATTATTTCTATTTTATTTTCCAGGATTTCCACCTTGACTTTAATTTGTTTCACCTCTCCACTCAGTTGTCCTGCAGATTCTTCAAAGTTATTTTTCATCTCTTCTTTGATCTCTTGAATAAACGAGATCTCTTCTTTGATCTCTTTTAAATGATGCATTCATATAGGCAGTTATTGATTCTGTTATTGTAGTTGTAACATTCTTACACAATTCCTGAAAGATCCTTTGGAATGCCTCAAGTGTAATATCTTTTTCTGTCATTTTTGTAAGTTTCACTACTTTTTCTAATGACAGCCATTTCAATCCAGAAAGGGGAAATAAAAGTAAAAGATCAACTTTATATATTTTAATTACTGTAATAAAAACTAACACAAACTAAACTCGGAGAAAGAAAGGAAACGAAAAAGAGAAGAAAAAAGTGCAAAGAAAGAAAAAGTAAAAAGAGAGAGAAAAGAAAAAGGAAAGAGTGAAATAAAAAGAAAAGAAATATATAAAGAAGTGACTTCCAATCTTCATCATAAGTATAAACACGTTTGGTAACTCTTCACCCCTTATAAGGTTACAAACAGATATCTCTTCTTCCCATTACCCATCTCTTATCTATAAGCAAATCCATAAGACATCAATCCTGGTGTCACCAAAAAGGTCATAAAAGGGTTGTCAAAAATTCATAAAAACATGTTTTATTTTAACCTTGATCAAATAAATCAACTTTATATTCCTTCCTTTTATCCCTGAAAATCTTAATCTTTAGTTCATTCAAATATTGTTGCAGAACTTGATCTCTCTTCAATTCTTCTTTGTCCCTTCACATAAGCTTTTTCAAGGGTTGAACAAGCCTCTTTTGTAAATCCAATAAAAAGACATTATTCAGGTCATTCTCTTGGTTTATCATTTGCATTTCCCCTTTAATTTTTAAAACTTCAGCCAGCTTCTTTTGTAAATCCAATAAAAAGACATTATTCAGGTCATTCTCTTGGTTTATCATTTGCATTTCCCCTTTAATTTTTAAAACTTCAGCCAGCTTCTTTTGTAAATCCAATAAAAAGACATTATTCAGGTCATTCTCTTGGTTTATCATTTGCATTTCCCCTTTAATTTTTAAAACTTCAGCCAGCTTCTTTTGTAAATCCAATAAAAAGACATTATTCAGGTCATTCTCTTGGTTTATCATTTGCATTTCCCCTTTAATTTTTAAAACTTCAGCCAGCTTCTTTTGTAAATCCAGTAAAAAGTCCTTTTCCAGGACACTCTCTTGGCCTGCCACTTATATTTCCACTTTAAATATTTTGTCTATCTTGTAATCCACACCGAGATTTTATGGATTTATTTATAGATAAGAGATGGGACATGGGAAAAAGAGATCATTTGTTGTATTTTAAGAGAAGGTGATAAATTACTAAAATTGTTTATACTTGCTGTAATAAAGGGAAAAGTCACTTCTTTATATATTTATTTTCCTTTACTATATTCTTATTTTTTCTTTCTTTTCTATTTTTCCTTTTTTCCTTTTCTGTACCTTCTATTTTTTTTCTTTTTCTAATTTGTATTAGTTTTTATTGTTGTAAATTGTAATCTTTAATAAAATTACTATTAAAAAGAAGTAATGAAGATAAACTCACCAGGTGGCTTTTCAAACTTGTCTTTCCTAAAATCTTAATAGCCTTAAGATAGTTCAACAGACAATTTCCGAGAGTGACAGAAGCAAGCTTAGCAAACTTAGTGTCTTTTAAAAGGCTCCGCCACAGCTGTGAACTTTATGATTGATCCTTTTGTCTCCTGGCACTCAAACTCATGGGAGACTGCTGTCTTGTGGTCTCTTCACAAGGGGCAGCCATCCAGAGCACATGTGGACAATTTCTTGTCCTCTCCTTGTCAATACAGGTTCCTACTCACCAATTCTTCAGTCCTTGCCACAGTTGTTGTCTTTGCTCTCCACGAAGACATGTTCAAGCTCACCATGCCTCCACTGGAAGTCTCTCTACATCAACTCTTTAGTCCATTCAGCACACCACACCATAGTACTGTAGTCAGATGGTCTTTAACAACTTTCCCTTATCTTTTGTTTTGCAAAGCTGACCAATCATTGTCCCCAATTAATCCAAATAAAACTGTTTTCCACAAAGATGTATATTGTTTACTTGTATTAAAAATACTTTAAGATCAGTAAATCCAAATTCAACTGTCCCCTTAGTCCATTTTAAAGTTTATTAATTTAAACTCTTGACAAGTTTTTTGCTTTTAATTAGTTTTAAATTCTTTAAATTGTTCCTTTGCTCTTATCTTTAACCTGGGATGAAGGCTCACTTACAGGGTGGTTTGATTGCTCTGCTGCATCGAAGACCTCTCTTTAACTTTGAAATAATTGTCTTCCAAATGTGTTTAAGAAAGTGGGGTCTTTTGCAAACCCAATGTCCTTTTGCAGGCTCCCCTGCAGCTTTGAGCTCACTGTCTCTTCCCAGGCCCCCGGCACTCAGACTCATGAGAAGTCCACAGAACCTCTTCGGATCTTGTGGGTCTCCTCACAAGAAGCAGCCCAAGTGGGCAATCTCCTGGCCTTTTCGCCACAGTATCATCTCCACTGTTTGCTGTCTGCCATTTTCCCCCCATTCGGAAGAAAAGGTTACAAAAGTATTTCCAAACAGTTTGGACTCCACCAATCCACTGTCAGGCAAATAGTACACAAATAGAGGCAATTCAACACCACTGTTACCCTTCCCAGGAGTGGTTGAACAACCAAGATCATACCAAGAGCAAGGCATGTAATACTCTAGGAGGTCTCAAAGAAGCCCAGGGTAACAACTAAGGAACTAAAGGCCTCTCTTGCATTGATGAATGTCAGAGTTTATGTGACCACCATCAAGACAACACTGAACAATGATGTGAATGGCAGGGTTGCAAGGAGAAAGCCACTACTCCCCAAAAAGAACACTGACGCCACATGCGAAAGACCACGTGGATAAACCAAAAAGATATTGGAACAATGTTCTGCGGACAGATGAGATCAAAATAGTACTTTCTGGCTTGAATGAAAAGTGTTATGTTTGGTGAAAGGCAAACGCTGCATTCCAGCATAAGACCCTTATCCCATCTGTGAAACATGGTGGTGGCAATATCATGGTTTGGGCCTCCATTGCTGCCTCTGGACCATGATGGCGTGCCATCATTGATCAAACTATGAATTTTGAATTATACCAGCAAATTCTAAAGGAAAATGTCAGGGTATCTGTCTGTAAATCGAAGCTCAAGAGAAAGTGTATCATGCAGCAAGACAATGGCCCAAAACACACAAGTCATACCACCAGTGAATGTTTAAAGCAAAAGGAAGTTAATGCTTTGAAATGGCCAAGTCAAAGTCCTGACCTTAATTCTATAGAAATGTTGTAGAAAGACCTGAAATGGGCAGTTCATGCGAAGAAACCCACCAACATCCCTGAGCTGAAGCTGTTCTATAAGGAGGAATGGACTAAAATTCTTTAGTCAATGTGCAGGACTGATCAAGAGTTACTGGAAACATTTATTTGCAATTACTACTGCCCAAGAGGGGCACACCAGTCACTGAAAGCAAAGATTCACATACTTTTGCCGCACACAAATATGTAGCCTTGTGTATTTTTCCTCAATAAATAAATGAACAAGTATACAGATAGTCCTGAGTTTAAGAATGAGTTCTGTTCCAAGGTCTGTCCTTAAGTCAGATTTGTAAGTAAGTCGGAACAGTATTATTGTATAATACTGTATAAATAGTATTGTGTAATTAAACCATTGTGTATCTAACTTGAATCATTGTATATTTAACTTAAATTTTGCTACAATAGGCTCCATTCTTATCTATGGGTCATCCTTAAACCAGGCGTTCTTAACCTGTGGACTACCCATAATATTTTTGACTTATTTATTTAATTGGGTTCTCTTTATTTAGTTTTAGATTTGTGTGGAGAACAGATCACATTTTAGGTCATATTTATACATAAAAGTTCACAAACCTTTAAGCACCACTGTAACTACAAACCTGTGACAAAGAGAGAGGGACTGGTCCAAATTCACCAAGTGAACTTCTGTGGCTGAGAGCAGAATCAAACAGTCCTTGATGCCAGTCTAACTCTTAACCATTACACCACACTTCTTTCCAGATTTCTCACCCTCAGATATTCAAATTCACAGTCATCATTTGTCTGTTTTATAGATTCTACTTTCTTAGGAGATATAGACAAGCACACATATATGCTAATACCAGTCTGTCATTTGGCTACATCATCACAGAGGAACAGGTTTGCTAATCCTTTTCCCCAAGATCACTCTATCGCTTAATATATACTTCCAGATTCACGTCTAGTAATCAGTCTGATGAGGACTATTTGACCAAAACCCAAAAAATGCTAAAAACACCTTCAGTATCAAGATATGACTGTAAAAAATGAGGACTCTAAGAATCTTCATGAATCATACACTGCTATTTTGTGTGCTTGTAGAATCCACCACTGTTTTCCGGATCTTATGTGCCTACAGTACAGCAAAATTCCAAACAGACACTTAATTTGAAAGGAAAATATTGAGCATGGTTGTTACCAGAAAAGCAAACACAATGAATTGTTAGCAAGTACTATAGAAAGTACACCCACCTGCTTCCTTCAGATATTGCCAGAACTATAAAACTACAAATATAATCAAAAAAGTTCAGAAAGGCCTTGTAACAATACCTCTGCCTTAAATTCTGTAGAATAATGTTTTCTAGATACTGCACCGGGCAGCCTATGCTACACAAAAAAACTACCAAGCTGTTTCAGATGACATTCTCTTTAAAAATCAATGTGATGTTAACGTTAGTTTTTTAAAGATGTAAAACCTGTAGAATTACAAATTAAGTGATAGAATTAAGTACTTCCTATCCTTCCACAACCCTTTCAATACATACAAACAATACTTTTTTTATATACATTCCTTAAAGGGTATAAAAATGTATGACCACATGTCTTTTCAGTATTGCTGTAAGCAAGGAATATCAAGAGATGATGAAATTGTTGGATCAATCAGTAATACAAGAACACCCAACATGGACCAGAAAGCTAAATGCTTTAAAACGGTTTGACCAAAAGAAAGAGGTCAAATCTTTGACAAGTTAAATATTTGAAAGAATCAATATTTTTCGGTTCTATCTGTTTAATCTTCTCCAAGCTAAGCAAACAAGCACATTTGCATAGTCTCTTTTAACTGACGCTAAGATATGCAAAATAACAAGAAGCAAACAAGTTACAAAGTCTAAACTACATAAATCTGTAAATAAAATAAACAGAAATAATGACAGAAGAGAGAAAGATAAACATATTAGTTATCAGCTTACAGAAACTTCTCTGAAACTCTGTGGCTGGTAACTGGATTTGAACCAGCAGCATAACACTATAACCAAAAAAAAAAAAAATTGCTTTTCCAGATATATTAAACAGGCAGGTAGGCAGGCAAGGAGGCAGGCAGGCAGGCAGGCAGGCAGGCAGGCACAGGCCACACAGAAAGCATAATATATACTCTGGAACACTGCTATTATACGTATGGTGTATGCATTCCTTTAAAAACATTCATTGATGTAAGAAATTACTAATAGAAAATACAACAAATCAGTGAAAGGCACAGATTCACAGGAGAATTTTCTATGGCCATAGCCAGAGGAACATAAAACCAGTAAGCAATGATTTTTAAAGAATGATCCTTACCACAATCATTTCCGAAGGTTCCAGAACAATACACTCGCAACCTCGTTTCCCTCCAGACTGCTTGCCAAAACTGAGAAGAAAAATGGGAAAGTGTAAACCCCACAATACTGTAGGCAGTAATAACACTATGCAAGATAAGGTTATATACTATAGAAGTTACAAAAAGTGAAAAACAAAATAAAGAGAGATAGTCATATTAATGAGAGCCAGTTTGGTGTAGTGGTTAAAGCATCAGGCTAGAAATCGGGAGGCCATGAGCTCTGGTCCTGCCTTAGGCACAAAGCCAGCTGGGTGATCTTGGGCCAGTCACTTTCCCTCAGCCCTAGGAAGGAGGCAATGGCAAACCACTTCTGAAATCTTGCCAAGAAAACAGCAGGGACTAGTCCAGGCAGTCACCAGGAGTCAACACTGACTCAAAGGTATGCACATGCGCGCACGCACACACACACAGTCATATTAATATGTTGCAGCAAAACAAACAAACAGTCTCATGGTGTCTTAAACATACTATAGTATGACATCAGCTTTTATAGCTGCATTAGTTGAATGTAATATTAGTTTGAGGTAGAGATATAGAAAATGTGCCTTGTGGAATGGAATGTATAGTGAGATAAAAGGGAAACAAAGAAGACACCAAATGGCTGATCAAGTTCTCTCTTTTCCCTGCAATCTCTGGCTACATCCCAGTGAAATAGTGTTAGTAGCTTGGAAGATCCTTGGGGACAATTTTAGTGGGTGGATATGGCATGGGGAAAAGGTGGGGGAAAACTCCTGTTCAGTGAGCAGAAGTTCAATGGTGAAACATGAGATTTAGACTACAGAATCATAAGAAAGTAAAAATGTATGTCTGTTTGTCTGTTTGTCTGTCTGTCTGTCTGTCAGAGAGAGAGAGAGAGAGATGGAGACTGACTCTCTGGTGCCAGATTTATATCCATTTTTTGGCAAAAATGAGTTTTATGGATAGCTCAAATTACATTCAGTTTATTCATCAAGGAGAAAAGAGAAACAACTTTGAACACTAAGGAAGAGTGTGAAATATGAAACAAACTAAAGACAAATTAAGTGTGAAAGACATATATTAAAATATTCTCTGTGGTAGCCCCCACTCTTTGGAATATTCTGCCCCCAGAGGTGCGATTGGCCCCCTCATTCCTGGCCTTCTGGAGGGCTTTGAAGACCTGGTTCTGCCACTTGGCCCGGGGTGGGGAGGAAATACTTCAAGCGTGGGGATGGCTAGCCCCGTAGAGGCCTGCTGTCTTCAGCCGCAGATCCTTCATCTTCTTGGACTCCCTTCTTCTTTTTCAGTAATGTTTTTTAAATTTTTGTGTTTTATGTATTTATATGTATTTATGGTTTTAATGTTTTGTGTGAGCTGCCGAGAGTCCCCCATTGGGGGGAAGATGGGTGGGGGAGAAATCAAATAAATAAATAAATAAATAAATTTTGATTGCTATATTTCACCTTCAATTTTTCTGACATTTAATTAGTTGAAAATAGCCAGCTAATTATTTTCAGTTATAATATCAGAACAGTGGAAAATAACAGCCAAAACAATTCTATGATTATGCATATACTGCACATTCACAGAAAAAAATTACCACTTATTATAGGCTTTCTTAAAAGGTTCTAGTTTCTAGAGTAAAAAGCACCTTGCAAAATAATAACTTTAAAATACTGTTGTTGTTTTTTTAATTATTATTTTCAAATACTAAGAAAAAAGGTGGAATCTAATGTCCACGCAACAAAACCATTTAAAATCCAAAAAAGTGGGGAGGGGTTGCCAAAAATTGCTATCAGAGGTACAGATATGTTTAAGAAAGAAGTTTGATGAAACTATTCCAAGAATGTTTTGGATAAATCTTTATCATGATTGTGATCAGTATAAAACAGGAAATAGCATAACTAGTAAGGTCAAATACCCATTGTATAATACATCATATAGAATATTTAGCCTTCAAGTGTATTAACTATCTTGAACTTACATAAACTACTAAGTTACCTTCTTCATAATGAAATGCAGGAAGTGATTATTGTGTTGAAAGAAATGTTTTAGGTTGGGCATACAAGTGTTACAAGATAACTAAGGCAAGAACTACATTCTATATCTGCTGGAGCCACATATTCCAGTCAATATGAATGCAGCACATTACTTGGAAATAATTTTGCAGTAATTAAAACATAAAATAAATGAAATCAAATGAAACAAGTTCCTTTATGAACTATTTCTTGAGTGTTTCAGGGTAAGATACAGATATATAAGATGCTATAAACTAGTATAAGAGTTTTTAAAATTTTGTATTTAGATTGGCTCGATACAAAATTGATCGATCACATCATAATGACTCCAACTAAAGGCTCCAAAACTATCAGAACTATCCATACCACATGAATGGCTATTCTGACATTTTATCATCTACCTTTGAGTTTGTATAAAAGGATTTGCAACAAGGCAATACTTACTGAAGGAAATTGAGAGTATGATACAAGTATTGGCCTGTAGAATCTGCTTTCAGTAAATCAAGACTGGTTTATTTATTACAGTTCCAGATCACTCAAGAACCAGAGTTCTCCTTGTGGTATATAAGCAAATTTAAAATACAACACACAAATAGTATGTGAGCCATACATTTCAGAGTTAATTGCACAAAATTAGAAACAGAATATTATTCCACTAATAAGAAAGTTCATAGCAAAATGTTAGAAAATAGGCCTGTGTAAAGCATTCAAAAAGGATGCTTTGCTAATAAGCTCACTGGAATGAGCAAAATGCTTCTCCACAAAATGATAAAGCAGCCACATCCTCTAAGAGGCTTGGTATGCTGTTTTGAAGGCTTTCCTCAGCTGTCTGCACATGTGCATACATGCCCAGCTATTCTACTTCACTGGCAGTCCCAGCAAAAATATGGTCTAGGCATCCATGTTTGCACGTGCACATACACACAAAATTTTTAAAAAGCTATAAAAGATGCTGCACCAAGTCTTCCAGAGGACTGTTGCCTTACCACTTTGAGGACATGTGCTTGCTTATGCTAGCATGTTTTGCAAAGGATTAGAGTGGTGTGCATTCTAATGCGTTGCAAAATCCTAAAGGATAACATACACTACATGCAGTAGCTTCCATGTTTAATTCCCATCACCTTCCAAATATTGTAAGAAAACATCCCTACTGAAAATCTGGAGAGCTGCAACAGACAGAACAGCTACATAAATCAAGATCTACTTCAGTATAGGACACTTCCAGAAAATGTTAATATTAGCAATATTACTTTGCTTAAATGTTAAAAGAAAAAAAAGTAAGCTAAATCTTCTGGTTAAAATTATAATCAGAAACACTGTTGATTCCTTGGTAATGCTCTCTGAAGTTCTCATTTTTTTTTTCAAGTAAAAGATCACATACACTCTTGCATCAGTCCCTCTGTGGCCTACTCAACCAACATTTTAACCTCACTTCTACTTTAAGGGAAATGTTCACAGATATTCATGTAGAACAATTATTTTCTGCTTGCTTACACATTAAGCAGAATGCATTTGTCAAACTTGGAAAATTCTCTTCCCTTCCTGCTGCTCTACCCCCTGCAAATTTAAAGCTCCTTTGGCTGTGCTTGGAAAACAGTATTTCCTATCTCCTGCTCCTGGTGCCCCATGCCAAAACCTATAGCTGCTCTTTTTCCTTGTATTTGACAGTTATCAGAATAGTCATGACCTCAACAAAGAATGACAGTATACATAACCCCCAAAATTAAGGAATTAAAAAAAACACACACACAAAGCTCTCTGATCTCTAATTCTCACTTTCAAATATCCTAACACCCTCCCCCCCAGCTTTGATGCAACACTAAATTGGTTGCTACAATGCTGTTGTTAGCTTTAGTCTAAAATTTAGGAAGCCCTGGTCAAACTGTATTTTACAATGAATCTCTAAGTAAACAGCAGTTGACACAATCTCAATATGGTACACAGTTAAACACATCTTTCTGCAAATTCAAATGCATACCTAACTATATTTAGTTGTTTACAGATTCAAAATAAGAAAATAGTGAATATGGCTGATGCAAAAATTTGGACACCCTTCCAACCAGTGCTTTGTAACATCTCTTTTTATTGAAACAACAGTTTCTAAACTTTTCCTATAGCCAGCTACTTTTTTGCTTTTGGATATTTTTCCCACTATTCCTTGCAAAATCCTTCTGATTCAGAAATATTCTTAATTCTCCCTGCATGCACTACATGTTTGAAATATCGCTATTCAAGTCTATGGACTATAAAGGACATTCCAAAATCTTTATCTTTCTTTCCTGTAAGTACTTCGTGGGTCATTTGGAGGTATAGTTCAGATCACTGTCTTGCTGAAATATCCAACTTCTTTTCAGCTTTAATTTCTTCACTGACTATGCAACATTAGCTTGAAGACCAAGAAAAGTATCTGCTAGAACTGGTCAGATCTACAAAGCACATCTCAAATATCTCTGCAAATAATCTGCTAAAAAAATTAGCTGACCCTGAAGTAGTTCTCCACATCATTCTCTTGCTTGTACAGTTAAGATCGGCATGGAACAGCACTCAGAGGAAAACTTCTCTAACCTCATCATAGATGTCACTGTTTAAAAGAAAACTTTGATAAGTCTGAAGTATTTTTGAAATAGAATGTTTTGGACTGATGGAACTAAAATTGAACTATTTGGTCAGAATCACAAAATGTACATTTGAGGAAGAAAGAGTGAAGCATTTAAGAAAATAACACCTTGCCAACCATTAAGCAGACGAGTCGCTCTATTTTACTTAGGGATTGTGTGGCAACCAAAAGTATAGGAATTAATGATGTGGGTAGAAGAAAGAATGGATATCCTTGAAGCTGCACAGTCAGTGACAGAACTGATGTTGAAAAGAGGGAAGAGATACTAACAATTAAAAGAGGTTTTGTGAATATGGCAAAAGGATAACAGATAATACATAAAAAGCAGAACTATTCTACATATATTTTAGCTCAGAATATTCTGAGAAGAGTATACGTATTGCACCAGGAAATTATCAAGAGTTGGTTGAAGAAGCAGGATTCCTGCCTGACCTTATTGGAAACTAAATAGGGATGATCTACTGCTATTTCTATTGCTATTTCTGCAATTCTGTGGAAATAAATGCCTTGTAAATCCAAGAGGCAACACTCTTTCTTCCTCTTCCTCCTGAGCAATCTTCTTTCAGACAGCACCCTCAGGTATGACTTCTAGTGAAGCAGTTTGAGAGCTGCGAAATGAGGGTTTGAGAAACAAATTATCTTCTTTCCCTCGTTAAATGGATATTTTGGCTGAAACTCAAATGAGAGATATACAGAGAGCTCTTTAAACTTCCAAAATTTCCTCTGTACTCACTAGGATGTAACTAATTTTAAGAGTCTGTTGATGGTACAAGTAATAAATTACTGTATTTTAGAATATGCTGATAAAGTTGATAACATGGAAGAAAAACATTAAGAAGTTAAAAAGCAAAGCTAAGAATGAGACAAATAAGAACATGATTGCAGATACCCAAGACAAAGTGAGATACAAAGAGCTGGTGGCCTGCCAAGAAGCACTGGACCAGATCCAAGGTCAAGCCAGCAGAAAAAAAAATAACTTTCTAAATTTTGCTTGCCTAGAACATAAACTTTGGCAGAAATAATAAGGCATCCTTATTTTAAAAAGTGGACTCTATTACTGAACAATGTTATCCCCAAGAGGTTAAATGAAGACATTTTGTTTGGACCTCTGTCTTTCATTTTAAGAACGCTGTATTTACAGCGCACATCACTCATTTGCAGTACAAGTCATTACTACCTCCTGCCACAGTCAGTTTTACAGAGCATGGGCACTACAGAAGATGAAACAATGCTCAGCCTTGCCTTTTGGGAGACTTTTCTGTTTTTTATTTTCCTTTACAATAGAGGAAAGCATATGCTACAAAGTTCAAGACATGCTCATGTTTCTTGTAAATAATTATTCTCATGGTTTTTATAACAATGCTCCATTTTTGACATCTGATTTCTACAAACATAAAAAGTTTTTTTAACAAATAATCTTTTTGATTACTTGTATCTGTATTTGGAGGGTATTTTATGTTAGAATTGTACTAAATTACTTTGAATACAACCTTTTTGGTATGGTGTAAATTAAATTTCTGGGTCAAGTGATAAAGGGAAGCTAAAGTATGTTAGCTTAAAAATAAACTTGCACACAAAGAAGGGGACAAAGCCTCTTGATAATTATTTCCAGGCAAATGTAAGACAAGTAGATTAACCTTATGAAGAATATGTAAATAAGAGAAACCGAGAATCGGTTAACACCATGTACTAAGACATATTTACTTGATTTTGGCTTAGCATATGTATAAACTCAGTCAACTGTAATTTAATCCAAAGATCATGATTAACTAAATCGTGGTTTAGCACAATATATGAACTAGGAAAGAAAGAAAAATCTGAAATACTCCGAATTATCTGAAAGATTCAAAAGGTTACACTAACAGCGATAGCAGCTTTTTACAAAATGAGGTAAGAGTTTATTTTACAATAAGTGAATGAATGATTCAATAATTAGTATACATGCTATTTAAGTTACTATTAAAAAACAATATTAAGAAGCTTAATCTTTTTAGCTCTATTGACTTTAGCTCAAAAGTATTATCAGTCTCTATAGTCTTTTGATATAGACTATCATTTTTCATTTTAAAAAATTACAAATAAATACCAATTTAAATCAAATCCTTTTCCTCCTATTTAAAACTGAATTGCATACATACATACCAATCATATTATTCCCTTTTGGGGCAAGCTATGCTATGCAAAACACCACTTCGTGTTTTTTTGTTTTGTTTTGTTTTTTTCTAAAATAAGGAATAAATAGACCAGATTACTAATCTGAACCAAGACACAATACTAAATTTTTAGTGTATTTTGGCTAGTAGGCCATAAGCACAATAAAAGCCCAGTTTTACCCCAAGCACATGAGTTTATGTTATAATCCATTCTTTTCAACTAATCATTGTCTGTGGCATTCCCTAGAATTGTAAGAAATAGATTAAGAGTACACATTATTGAAACTGGATTTGTTTTCTGTGGGCTAAAAACTTTGGGTATAATATAGAAATGGAACAATGGGAAAATAAGTGGATAAAAGGATTGAAATTTACATTGTGTTATAATCTTAAAGCTAATTTTTATAAAATGATGTACTGTTGGTATTTGTCACTGGAAAAATTGTCTAAAATGTATACAGGTACTTCAAATGTATGTTGGAAATGAGAACAAGAAGAGGGGACTTTTTATTATGTTTGGCGGACATGTAAAAAAGCTAAAAAAATTTGGACTCAAATACATATATTAATTCAGAATATCTTAAAGACTAATATACAATTGAAACCGGAGACATTTCTTTTGGGACTGATGGATAAACAGTTGGGAAAAAAACCATGGAATTTTGTTTTTGTATATGAGAGCAGCAGTGAGACTTTTATATGGACGGTGGAAAGATTTGACGTTGCCTACAGTGGAAGAATGGATGGTGAAATCGACAGTTTTGATTAGAGAAAAGAATTCATTTTAATGCTGACTAGAAACCCCTTTTGGACTTTTTGCATGAAACAGAAAAAAATGAAATGATATATGGATTTGACGATTAGAATAGTAAACAACAGAAAAAATGAAAGTTACATTGTCAACTTAGAGTAGGAGCTTAAAGCAAATTTATACTTGTATCTCCTGTAAAAGAAAGTCAAAAGTCATTTTTCTTTTGTATTTTTTCTTTCTTTTTCTTTTTACACTTTTGACCTTGTTTTCTTTTTCATTCTTTACTTTTTTCTCTTCTCTATTTTCTATCTTAATTATTAGTTCTTGTTAATTTTTATTTATCTTAAAATCTAATGAAGTTATTTAAAGAAAAAAAAAGAAACTAGACTTGTTTTCTCACCATATATTATATGTATTTAACTGGGTTCTCAAGCTTACTTGTTTTTCCCTTAACATACAGAAACACTGATTTCTTACATACCTGCAGGGTGGCAAAAACATAGAATCCTTCATAAGCACAGATCCAGAAAGAAGAATATACCAGCATTTTGCAATAGTATCCGAGCTAAAGAAAAGAAACAAATATGCATAAAGTATTTCTTATATCAAGAACTCCTAATCAAAGCTTTTCAAGCATGTTTTCCTGTTCACTATGCTATCTTGTCCAAATATACACATGCAGAAGAAAGGCTCTCAAATCCTGAATGAGTGACAAAACTTGTGAAACACATGAGTTCTGTCCCAGATTTCTGAGTGTAGATCATAAACTTAATTCTGTGGATAGTTTAATTTCTTTGGATCTATTATTTGGATAATAACATTAACAGTATATGTATTATAAAGATCTAGATGTGAATTTTCTGATACTAGTCATACATTATGTCTTATATTTTCATACCATACAATGATTAAATGCACTTACCAAAATAAAACTTGATTTCCATCATATCTTTTATACCGTGCACTGGAAGTCATAATTCTGAGAACAAAAATTTAAGCATCATCACATAACATTCACATCCTACTATGGACAGTGCATTTATTTATTTATTTAATCAATTTATATAGCCACCCATCTCACCACAGGCGACTCTTGGCGGCCTACAACAAAGCTAAAAACTGTAAAATACATTAAAAATATATAAAACAGAATAAAACAGAGAATAAAAGA